GAAAATGCAATCATTAAATTTCTCTGGCCTGTTACAAGAGCACATATAGGCCAAACCAAGTGCGTGGAACGTTCGTAAAATGAATTGCGCCAGTTCCTAGCTGTGTATACTCAACATTCCAGATACATGTGCTCTGCTGCGTGCATATTGATTGCGAATCGCAAAATTTCAAAACCACGTACACCCATATGGTATGCGTATGCGCATCGACGTTTGTGGATGAGACCAGGCGACGCAACCAGTGCAGGAACCAACATAAAATAGTGAAAATGATGAGCTTGCGCCAAGCACCCCACAAAACAACAACAACGTCAAAGAAGACAACGACAACGCCAAAAAAAACAACGTCATTGCGCCAAAACAACGTCAATGTCAATGTTTTTGTAGAAAACAACGTCAACGTCAAAGAATCGATCCACGTCAAGAAAAAACTACGACATCTGGTTCTCCAGGATATGCAGTTGAGCGAAGAGGTGATGTATACTCCTGCATCGGGAAGCTACAGCCTGCGACTTCTCCCAGCATTGCTACTGGATATGAGGAGCAGAGACTACCAGGATGAGGAGACTGGAGATCCGGTGATTGGGGCGTTGGACATCAAGGAAGCCTTTCTACAGGTGGCACAGGAACGACCACTACAGATCTCGACAAGCCTCGGCAAGTACAAGGTCTTGAAGAACCTACCGGGGCAGAGAATCGGGGCAAAGGCTTGGTATGAGCACATTCGGGACTATCTGATCTCGAACCAGGGCTTTGTCTTCGACGTGGTCAACCCCTGCCTGGGCAAGAAGGGTGAGGCAAGCCCCAAGCCTGCTGATCCATGTGGACGATAGTCACAGGCCGGTCAACAGCGGTGGAAAAGCTCGTGGAGGATTTGAAGAAGGATCTCCAAGTGGAGGTCACTGTGGCAAAGAAGCCTGGAGATGAGTTCACCTTCCTGAAGAGAACCTATGTTTGGGTCAAGGAAGGATTACTGGTCAAACCAGGCCAATACGCAGCAAAGATGATCAAGTTGTTCGAGGAGAACGAAGAAACAGAAGCTGCCGGCCACAGCTGAGATCCAAGAGATCGATGAGACAGGCCTCATTTCTCCAGCAGATGCTCGCTCGATTGTGGGCATGGGTATTTACTTGTCCCAACAAAGGTTGGACCTCAGCTTCGTGATCAAGGAGCTAGCGAGCAAGATGAGCAGCCCCACAGAAGGTTCACTGCAAAGCATGCGAAGAATGATTGGCTACCTGAAGGAGACGGAGGGCCAACACATTCTCTTGGCCATGGAAGAAAGGAGCGAAGGAATTCAGATGAGAGGGCAGAAGCAATGGCTGCTGGAGACCTTCACAGATGCTGACTGGAGTGGATGCAAGTCAACGAGGCGCTCTACCTCAGAGGCAACCCATGCTGTGAATGGAGTGATTGTACATGCCAGTTCGCAGCCAGAAGACAGTCTCACTGAGCTCAGCGGAGTCAGAGCTCAATGCCTTGGTTGCAGGTGCATGTGACGGCATTTGGAGATTCAACATGTTTGCTGGATTGACAACTCAGCCACAAGGCAGATAGCTTGCAAGCGAGGAAGCGGGCGGGCGACTACGCCACATCAATGGTCGCTTGCTATGGTGCCAAGACAAAGTCGCTGATGGAACGTTGGAGGTGAAGCAAATCAGCACTACACTGAACGTGGCCGACATTGGCACAAAGCCACTGGGATGCAACAGACTCCAGTTACTGTTGTTTTGGTGCTTGCCCGCGATGGCAGTGGTGGGCGCGTTGGCGAAAAGGAGCACGAGACCTATGCCACACAGCGCATTGAGAAACGCAAGGTCATGAAGATCGCCAAATACTTGAACCGGCTCATTCTGGTGGAGTCCTGCTGTCGGAGCAATGGAAGACCGTTTTGGGATGCGAGAAGCTGAGCGAGAGGGCCGACCTTTCATCAACCGCTCCTACCGGTCAGCAGATGAGGCGGCAGCAGCAGCGGCAGGAAGACCACCACCGAGAACACCCCCAGTGAGTGCTGAGGAAGCCAGAAGCAGTGGAGCAGCTGAAGGTGAAGAGCGAGTGGTTTCAGGGAACACTGTCACGGTCCGGTTGGACAGTGGAGAGACAGTTGAAATCCCTGAGGAATTTGTGGAGGTGAGACCAGGCTCAGATCAAGGAGAGCTACAAGATGCTGATCCAGAACATCTACCAGAAGCGGCCGCGGCGAGCTCGGAAGATGCTGCGGCTGAGGATGTAGATATGGAAGGGTCAGAGACCGAGTCCTGGCATCCTCCACCGGTTGAGATTTGAATAGTGAAATTCAACCATTGGAACACGCTGCGAATGAGAGCAGCTTTGAGGGCAAGACAAGATCTCATGATCTTGGAAGCTAGTTGGTTCCGTTACACCAGGGAAGGCAATAGCCAACAGGCAGGTAGGCTCTATGAGTTAATGGAAGAGCTCTACCAATACATGGACTACAGCGAATGACCTGGTGTGATGGGGCGGTAGAAGAGTGAGGTGTGAAGTTAAACTCACCACGCCTCAAGGGAGAGTGCGAAACTAGGAACAAAGCACTCAAGCCCAATACATGAACTAGTGAGGCAGTGATGTCAAACGACAACCGCACAAACGAGAAGTGTACCGCAGACCGCCTTGAGAGCTCAAAGATCAGCATTTAAAGATTGTTACCGTAGATGATATCTTTGCTTACTCAAGCTGCAAACGCTTGCCGCGCCAAGCAAGCAGACAAATTTCATGGGCAGCCGTGAGTGGTCGTGCGTTTGAAACCTCAAAACCATGTAGGATTCTTGTTTCATCTATTGCTGGTATGCATGTATTGTTCATAGCTTTATACTTACTATACTGAAAACATGCGTTCAGGTCCGAGCGGGCCCAGGTATACAAAAGTCACGTCCAATTCAATGTGTATTGACATCCGCATTTACTTGGGGGCATCCATATGGTACATACTGAGTAGACAACCAGGGGTTCGATGAATTGGATGTAGAACACAGGGGTTCCTGAAATCCACTTTGTGAACATGGATCTGCCAGAAAAGCTAGCCTTTTTTTCCAACTCATCCCATACTCAGACATCCAAGTTTTTTTCTGGAGGCCCAAGTTGATGGCATCCGAGCTCACAGGTCCCCACCCCAATATACGTGGCTTGACCCGGTTGACCAGTCCTTTGTGAGGGTTTTTGCATCCTTTTCTGGTGGCGGCGTTTCACCAATGATCGAAAAGCTGCCTTTGGAGGTGTTCCAAGCTGTTCCGTGGCTTCAGAACGTTGCAAGGTGGGAGAAGCAATGAGCAGAGAAAACTCCAGGAGTGTGCCGTGTATTTTCAAGCTTATGTTATGTTTATATTTGTAATATATATATATATATGTGGTTCATATTCCGCATTACGTCCACATTAATTGCGGCGCTGTTGCGTTCTACCCGCCTAAAAGTTAATAGCTCTGTATAGTTTTGAGAGGGTTGAGAAACTTCTACTTAGGGGTTAAAAGTTTACAGAATAACATTTGTGTGTGTGCACATGAACAGATACTTTTGGTGTGCTGATTTGATTCTCTATGTGTCGTAATTGCATGTTCTTGTTTGTCCCAGCATAACTCCATGGTGTTACTTTGTTTCTTGTGTCAAAAACAATTCTCCTATCCAAGCTCCTTGATCCAAAACAATCTCACATGCATTGTTTTTATGCCATATCATACTGGTACCTGGCGACAGTCGTTCTGTTTTTGTCCGGTGTTGCTTGCTTCTTCAGCTTCCATGACAGGATGGAGAACTGCTCAGAACTAGAACATTGGATGTACCACAGGGTCCACAAGCTAATTGTCCAAATCTATCCTCATCCGAACCTTTGCCGCCTCATGGCTTCGTAAAAAGGAACACACTCAGTACATCCGATGTACTGAGGCATCCCATCTCTTGATCTCGGGTGGCGAAGCACGTGGAGAGGCCGAAGCTGGCTTAAGTCTGGGGTTGTTTAGGTGTCCAATTGCATGCCCCCCAAAAAAGAAGATGAGGCCCTCTTTAAAGCGTTGACACAACATGTTATGCACAAGAACTGGGATATGTATGGGTAGTAGTTGGTTCTGTTGGCGATCAATTTGTGGAAAAGTATCGTTCCCTTGGCACGGGTGCTGTTCATTTGGGTTCACAATAGTTCATAAGTCATGACTGTGAAGGGCATGTTGAGTCACATTCAAATTGATATTTGCCTTTTTCCCATGGGGTTTGGAGTTAGGCAAGCAAACATCACACACCCACACAGGCATGGGTGTAGTTTTCAACTTGTCTCCGAACCTATCGATGTTGTAGAACAATGCTTTTAGTTTGAAGAGTCCAAAGTTCGAATGAGAGCCTACAATAGCATTTCCCCCAAGACCAAAAGCTGGACGATTCCACTTCACCTGAAACAGCCGTGCGTCACACACCTCAACGCAGTCTTACCTCCAATAGGAGTCACTCACCTACTCTGAAAAATGTCGGTCACTTGATCCTGCGTGCCTTTCCGTCGATCCGGGGGGCCTTTGCTTTGGACATCTTTGGGCCCATCTTGATTTTACGTCAAAGGTGCGGGCCAATGGCGATACCGACCCATCTTGACCTATAGCTGGTGTCTGTGAAACTGCACTCATGGTGGACTGGTCAGACTTCCGAAACTGCCTCAGGTTTCGGTCCTCGTTTCTTCCGATCGCCGCAACCCCTGGTCGCCGGAGGTCGAGACCCGAACACCGGGTGACAGCGGTTACAGCGCAGACCGCCAAAAAGGGGGGAGCGTGACGCGGCACGGCGCGTCGCGTCGTGAGAACTGCGAAAGAAGGCCTGAAGTACTCCGGACCCTCCAATAGAAAGGGTGGCTCCGAAGGAGGGATCCCACACTCCCAGTCCTATGCAGGGTCCAAGGAGTGTTTGGTTACACTCGTGCAGATTAACAATTGAGGAATGCTTGAACCGCAAGCACACGCAAAAGTGTCCTCTCTCCTTTTTCCCAATCTGGCCAGGTGGATGAGGATGCTGCACACTCTGCCAGCAGCTCCGCCAGGTACGAGCGGGCCCGGTACGAGTGGCTGCAAACCAGTCCAGCAAGCAACGGAAAGCGAGATGCGAGCGGTCGCGGTCGCGACGTGCAGGTTTGCTTCGTATTTGTGGGTTTCCTGGTTGGTTTTCCTATGTGCTTTCCATGTCTTTTAAGTTG